GCTAAAGTAAGGACTTACCTTAAATGATGCCTCTTAATCCAATCTTCTTCCTTCCTGTCCTTTTCAGCTGTCCCTCCAGCGCTGACTCCTCTGTCCTCCTCTACGCTCATGTACCACGGAGTCTGTGCAGGTGCACGCTACTCCACATATACTTACGTTGTGTCTCTCCTTGTCTCCCGGCCGAACATCTGAATTGCGCATGCGCTCGCCCCAAAATCAAGTAACAATATCCTCTGGAAGTGCCAGATCTTCCCTTTCCTCAATGATCTCTGTTTGTGGACAGTGAGTACAGGATTCACAGGTAGTTTCAGGATCTCTGTTCTTCCTATCCATCCCAAGGTGTGGGTCCAGCCCTTTACAGATCATTCGCAACAAGGGAACGGAAGTTATAGTTCTAGGTCCGTCAGTACAAAAGCAGTGGAGACTTCAGGTACTAATACTTAAATTGATAAAAAAAACTAAGTACTTGTAGGTCATCTTTGTTTGAAGAAGTTTAAAGATCTTTTTTTTCCCAATGCATATCCCGTGCTGTACAGAGTTCAAAGTTACATGACACCCGCATATCGTGCACATTAAATTGGCTGGCAATTTGTCAGCTTCCCCCACAATGGGTGGTCAAGGACATTTTAAGCCTAATGCTGAAGGCAGGGTTTTAACATGACAAAGTGCTACACAATCATTTTACTACACCATTGTCACGAGGTGTCCCAGCTGGCACCCGGAGGGGGAATTTTAAAACATGTTTTATTGTTTTAAAAGATCAAAAACTTAGCACAAGTTAAAAATTTGTTTCAGCACTATGGAGAGCTCCAGCCACCACATTCACTGCCTGGAGCTATGGCTGCTATAACAAGCCACCGTACTATAAACATTTGTGCAACATGATACAGGGAACGATTCAAAAAAGTATTTGCAACACTTTTCTGGTGGTATGGTTCCTTTTAAAAAGCCCTGCGCCTATTTCATGAAAGCCTTGCAACATCTTTGTTAAGAGTTCTAAAGTATGCAGCATTTTTGGGTAGTTTCTTTTTGTGCCATTTTCACAATGTGTTGCTATGGTTGCGACAAAGTCAAAAATAATTATCTCCAGTTCCTACATAACAAAACTGGAAGTATTTAAGGTAACTGTCATAAAGAGACAGGCCAGTGCTCAGAGTGGGGCACTGTGTAGTAAAGAGCAGGGTATGTTTGTATTACACAGCACTTTTCTACACAGCGGCAGGGTAGCATCCCCCTCAGAGCTTGAGGGTTGCGGGTTGCAATGGCCATATTTGGTCAAAATGTATCAATCTCCACCCCATTGTTTATATTCAGCTGATGGCCAGGGAGTTTTCTGGTCAGCAGCTGAATTGGGCAGGGCATGCATTATTGGGTTCTAGGACACTGTCAGCTACAGCTGACAGCGTTCTAGAAATCAATTGCTCTGTGCAGTCCCCAATATCTTAGCAACCAAGGATGAGGTGCAGCTTAGGTGGAGAACATGGACTGAGGATAGAGTGTCCTCGTTATGGACACTCTGGCCTTAGTTCTGCCCCCCACCATCCCTACATGGCTAATTCACATACCTGTTTCCAACAGGTACATGAATCTGTTGCAGACACTGACATTTGTTGTCTGGAGGCATGACACAATTCTAAAGAGTGTCTATAAAACTGTGAATTCCAGGGATTGAATGTTGCCAGCTTATATGTGGTGAATGTGCTTTAACATACACCAGTGACCAGTGTACTGGAAAATATTATAAATAAGTAATTTTTATATATGATGCAACTGATCCAATCAATAATATTCCATCCATTTAACAGCAGTTAGGCCTTTATGCAAAGAGGAATGCCTCCTTTTATTTAGGTACCACACAGCAGCCATGAAGGGTGACAGTAAGGAGAACTTTGCTGCATTTATCCCAACCACTTATTTAAATAAAACTCATAGGCTGGGATAAGTACACTTGGTTTATGGCATACATTTCAACTTATGACAGCCTAGCTGTGAAGTGCTCATTTCAGAACTCAGTAGGGCTACTGCAGGGTAAACCCCGTTTATAAATGGTAGATGGAAAGTCTCTGCAATATATAAATGTGCCATGACTTACCTGGTGTCAGGTCCATGGATCTTGTGTGGGAGAAGGAAGTATAACATAGCCAGGAGCAGAGCCATCAGTATAATGCAACAGCCTGAGGCTGTTGCCTCAGGCGGCACACTTTGCTGCACAATGTTTGCAGTGGTCCCCCTTTCCAGCCTGAGCATCCAAGGTTGCTAAGAACCAGGTGGGAAGAAGTGTAAGGGCCATACACATCTCTCCGCCCAGCTATTAGCAACCTGGGAGGCTATTGCTGGTATCCCGTTAGGGACCCCCCTGGCCAGGAGGAAAACATTTATCTGCAGGTTGATCAGTCCAGTACACTGCTGCTTGACACTGCAGTGCGTTTCCACAATTTGCTTATAATGAAGTGGTATTAAAGTCTATGGACAACACAATCTTTTCTTTGCTACAGTTTTTGTGCATTGGTACCAGTGTATACACCCAGGTTCCAAAAAACATGTCTTGTATCTGTTATATCTCTAAAATTTAATTTAAATGGGTTTTAACTTTATTATAGGAGCAGATGAGAGCCCTCTATATATCAGCTCAGAGGTATTCTGGTATCTTTCACCCATTTCTTCCCTAAGAGACTCCAATTTCAGGTTTTGTCCTTATTGCTGTTCTATATTGTGACCTTTTATTTCAGATATAATGCACTCTAGCCACTGTTATTTTTGAGTGGACCGTTTTAATTTGCCTGGATTATTAAGTTTTTGCAATGCAAAGAGCGTAGCTATACTTTACAATGTTGCAACCCCACAAAAACCAAACCGACTTTGCTTTACTGAAGTCAGATACGTATGAAGGTTACCGTAATTTAGTAACCTGTATTTGTGGGAGGGGATTATAGCTATTTAAACTCCTCCTCTTCCCTTTCCTGCCTGACGTTGTAGGGGAAGCGTCGGTCCCCACCCACCCATCTCTTTATAACTTAAAATTCCATCACCTTTTCATTTGGTATGCCCCCTTTTAGGCGTACCTAACAGCGTACCCACGGGCATACCTCAGGCCAAATTAGCTTATTGGCACAACTCAGCCCACACTATATCTATTATACGGTATATATGCCCGACCACAACTGAAATATACATTCCTGTTGGTTAATTTGGGTTAGTGCACTTTTCATGTTGCTCTTTGCCTTATCAAAAAGAACCTATATGGACAGTTTCAGAATACAGGGTGTGCTATTTCTTTTTAGGGTACTATTCCTCTCCACTGCTATATGGAGTACCTGAATAGAGTTTAATTCTAATATTAACATTACAATTCCTTAAAATAATGTTTTCCTTTAAAACCAACGTAACTTTGCCATGTAGATGCACATATTACGTCATTTTCAGGCCTAAAATGTGGAATATAACATGGGTGCAAAAATTGAAAAAAGGGCCTCAGTCATGAAGGGGTTAATAAGGAACATATGCAAAACACAGTAACTTATAACAACCTGCCAGTAATAATATATCCCTGCTCCACTAGCTCCAGTTTGAGGAAACACAGTTGGTTGCTGTGAGTTACTGCACTTTGCACCACCTTTATGAATTAAAATGATAATAAAGTTAAATGTTTTTTAAGCTATTTCATATGCTAAACAAATAACTTACAATAGATGCTGCTCCTTCATGTTTCAAAGTTTTAGTTTTCTGCAGAATCAGCTCATCCCTTGAGCACTGGACCTGATATCCTGTATTAGGGTGGCTCCGTTACCTTGCAGGGTCCTATGGAGGCTGTGCCTGTCTCCACAAACACAAAGGGAAAGCAAACACTCCCTTTTAACCTTCTGCAAACTAGTAGATGGACGGGAAGTTCAGGGGAGCCAAGCTGAGAGAATTGAAGCTGCTTGGAAACGCAATGCCTGTAAAGTGCGTGGGCAAAAATAGAAAAAAAAAAGATTTGCTGGGCAATGCATATTTATTTTATCTGGATTCATTATTGAAAAAAGTTTGAGAGTTTAATACTACTTTAAGTTATCAATTCCTTTGTGTAGCTAGTCCTCAGCAGTGATCAAACGGTTCCTCTAACTGCGACCACAGATTATACTTTCCCAGACACTAGCACTATGGCTGAGTAATTTGTTCTCTCACAAATGGCTCTTAATGTGTCAATGGTTTCTGCACGTTGTAATAAAATCTTAGCAGCCATTCACAGTTTCACTTGGTGTATCAAAACAAAACACTTCATAATATATTCATGGTTTTTCATTAGGCATTGCAACCACAGAAGCAAATACTGGAAATCATAGAAAACAAATCCTAAAACTGCAAACATCCATCAGCAAGAGATTCCAACTTTCAGATTATAGTGTTGTTGTTTGGATGAGCCAACAGTGCTGTGTTTTGTAATTTTGACAACTTTTTCAATAATCGATTATAATCGATTATGTCGATTAGTTGTTGCAGCCCTAATGTATTACTTTTTGAAGCTTTGAGGATGTACAATAAAGACTCTGTTCTTTTTCTCATAGGCAGCTGTAACAGAAGTGCAGTTTGGTCCAATGAGACTCCACCAAGATCAACTTCAGGTACAGCGATGCTACAATGCGATGTCAGAGTTCTTTATGTTTGTGCTCATATTGTAATGGGCTGCAATGGAACTAGTTTTGTCTTTTAACTGTCCATGTTACATCATCATGGCCACCATAACCCTGATCAATACATTGACAGAATGTAATCATTTTATTTTTCTTAGTATGGGGCAACACAGTTTTTTAGTCAGCATGCTTATATGGGTATTGGGGGAAAAAGTCAAATTTGTCATCCCATTTAAGTACATTCCTGTAAAAGTGCTTATGTTTGATGCTCAGTCTACCAGATCACTAAACTCCTTCATGATATCCTGCAAGGATGTTAGGCGATGATCCAAACACCAAATAGTCATTTTTCCCAAAACACAAAACTTGAACGTACCTGTTCATATTTGCTAATTCTTCCATTGTCACATATACCTTGTTAATACCTCAGTTGTTCAGTTGCAAAGATCATAATTAATGACCATCTAACGTCGATTAGGCTGGGTTCACACCTAGGCGTATTGAATATGCGCGTTTGACGCGCGTTTTTACCGCGATTCGCGGTTAAAAAAACATGCGACAAACGCGCGTTTCCGAGGGCTACTTGGCTGTATCCCAATGGAAATGCGAGACCAAAACACCCCAAAGAAGTACATGTACTTCTTTGGGCGTAGGCCGTTTTGCAACGATTTCAGACGGGCTGAAATACGGAAAGGTGTGAACCATACCCATAGAAAACAATAGGATTTTCAAGTTTGTACATTTGGAAAGGGCGTTTATAGGGCGTTGAACGCGCTACAAAACGGAAAGGTGTGAACCAGGCCTAAGTCCCTTTACAGACATTAGTGTATTTGTTGTGTGTACCTTTTAGGCTGACCACACACGTTGCAGTCTGCTTGTACAAATCCCTTTAGCTCTACCAACAACTACTTCACCTACTTGATTAGCTAGGTCCTTACACCAGATATTTGTTAGCAAATCTAAAGATATTTCCAAGGTTGTTCAGTTCAATTGTAACGTGTGTCCAGCTGAAGAAGTATGAAGTGATTCGATTAAATGAGGAGTGTGTTCTGTATGAGCTCCACCATTGTGTTTGTGTGGTAGCAAAGACCTTGCTACTGCCTAACACTCTATTATCTACTACTATTAATACATTATGCCCAAGATGTTTTTCTTCCAAGAAACATCACTGATAGAAAGTCTCAAAGGACGGCAAAAGGGTTATAGCAAGATGAATGCACAATTTTAAACTGTAATTTTATATAGGTATGAGTGCCATTTTTAATGGTTGGGGGTGATTAGGGAGTATATTGCAGTCCCGGTAGAAACATTATTTTTTACTGGCTTTTTACAAAACAAATATTGCTTTTTACTGTGCTCTGAACAAATCAACAGACTGCATGTAATCAGATCCTGTTGCCTTCTGTGGGATAGCTGATTACTGCTGCCTTATGTGAGATGTCAATGTTCATCTGTAGCCTCACCCTTCTTCCTTAATGACTGTGCTACATTACATTGTTGGTAGCATAACCATAACAGCAAATAAATCCAGTAACTTAGGGTAGATTAACACAGACAGTGAAAGGGGGCACTTTGCAGGTGGTTCTGGAGCACCCCTTAAATGATGATTGTGTGCAAACTTAGTACATAACTCCGAAGTGTCCTTTATTTGGAGGGAATGTCCCTAATTTGGAACCAAATCCCTCTGTACCTCTTGCCTCCTCAGTTGTCCTTCTTTTTGGTCTGATGTACAGATATCTATGAAAATGTTCTATTTAACTGCCCAAAATGTTGTTCTCCGCTAAAACTTTTATATCTCTTAATCTGCTTATTTTGATAAGCCAATGTACAGGAAAATGAATAGTCGTAAACAACAATTCTGGGTTTTTGACAGTCATTTTTTACATATAAATTCTTAATGGTCCGCATACCTAGGGGCAAGACAGGAGTGTGTCCATTGCCTAAATGCATTGTGGTAGAAGGAGCCCCTATTTCTCATCTAAGAAAGGTGGGAGATATGTTGTACACATAAGATGTGTGTGGCACTAATGCTTGACTTCTTTGTACAGTGTAAGGGCTATGGCTACCTATGCATTGCATACCTATTCATTACATACAATATGGACTGTGGATGCTGTTATGTATCCACTGTATGAATTCATTACATACAATATGGACTGTGGAGGCTGTTATGTATCCACTGTATGAATTCATTAGATACAATATGGACTGTGGATGCTGTTATGTATCCACTGAATGAATTAGCTTTGGAAGTGTACACAATAGTGTAAATAATTATAGAACATAGATATGAGCCTAATGCTAGACAAAGAACTGAGAAAGCAGTTGGAGGGGTCAGGCCTTATTCATACCTGAGCATTTGGTCGTACAATTCCTGAAGCACAACATTGCTCAAGATGCAGTATCCTACTATTCTCAATCGACCTGTTCACACCCGAGTATTGTGTTGCTTGTCACCTGTCATGTGAAAAAGTGCATGAGCTTCTTTGGGGCAGAATTGTGCATTGTTGGCCCCATAGATTTTCATAGAAGCTCCTGAAAAACACAGGTTTACACATGTTTTTTAGGTGCTCCCATTCAAACGTCTGAGGCCAAAATGCATGATTCTATTCATGTACTTCAAAAATTCATGCACAAATGTGGGAAAGAAGCACCCCTCTAAATTGCCTGGCTATGCTTACACTTAGTTGTGAATGGGGCCTGAGACAACTAATTGGAGACTGGCCAACTGTCTATGTACACTTGGATTAGCTGTGAGTGTATGTTTATGTGAATGGAAAAGGAAGAACGAACTGTGGCCAGACACTTCTCCTGCCAACTTATCTTAGGGTAAACAAGGAATTGAACATGTTTTTCTAATTTGTCTAATCAATTTCCCCAAAAAATAAGTTGGCGGGGGTTGTCTACAGGTGTTCTTAGACTTGAGCAGGATCGGGAAATTGTCAATTAACAACGAACTACTGTTGTTTGTTCCCCTTTTGCTCTAATAAATATACCCTTGTGAGTGTTTAACTGCCTTTCAACTTTACCCCTACTGACTGTTATCAGTTAGCATTCTTTTTAGCTTTCTCTGTGGACTACAGAGCATCTCTCCACTATGTTATGAAGAGGAGAGGAGGAAGTTTTCTGTAATCCTGTCCTAGGCTGACAGTGCTGCTCCTCTACAGATTCAGTACAATGTGGGAACATTGTCACCCTAGGATAGAAAGTTATGGTACTGGCAGGAGCAACAAGAGAAGGTATAGAAAGAAAGCCTAAGAAAAGAAATCCAATGCAGCTACCTAATCTTTGGATTGGTAAGCTGCTATACATTAAATGTATGTTCTTGGGTTTAGCTATGCTTTATCTGATTTTTGAACATAATGTTTATATTTAGCAATTTCCTAAAAAGTGTTGTCAACACAACTGGTTCTCACGAGTCATACTTGTACCTCAGGGGGGTCATTGTGTTGTAAAGTAGCCACCGCTCCAAGCTCACTCCTGTGATGGACTACAATCTCACTTTTAGTTTACTAATTTGTATCAAGATTGTAGTCCATTATGGGAGCGAGCTTGGAGCAGTGACTACTTTACAACACACACAGGGATCAAGGGGAAACAAAAGTAGCCACCCTCCAGAAGGAATGACAGTGTCAGCACCAGTTGAGGATCTACAGCTGCGTGATGCACAAAAAAAGGTCCAGTATTGTTAATAGTTAAGGGACTTTAATGCGTTTTTTAAGATTTAACTCTTGAGTTCCGTGTCACTTTAATACATGGTATCCCCTTGACACATGATGTGCAGAGTATATCCCCTTGACACATGATGTGCAGAGTTCTCTGGATTTTCTAATGAGAGAGCTTGGTCTCTAAAATAGGTAAGGAATGGCTGAAACACGTGATAAGGAGGGTAACCCTCCTCCCCTGCTGGCTTGTAATGAAATTATAAAATATTCTAATGTAATAAATTATATTTACTGTGACTGCTATGTACCAAATGTTCATGTTAGCTTATAAGAGGAACAAAGGTAGTCACCCTCCAGAAGGAAGGACAGTGTCAGGTACTGGAATGCATTTTTAAAATTTAGCTTCTGAGTTTAGTGTCACTTTAAGTGTGTATATATAAAACAAAAATGTACTGTATATAAATATTGAACAAATAAAGTGGAACAAAGAGGAGCTCACTGGTCTTGCCAGGTGCTATATAAAATATGAGTTTTATAACCTTCAAAAATATAAATTAAATTGACCCAAAACAAAGTTTCCCTTATAAATACATCAGATATTTACACCGATGTCTACGCCTGTGAATATTTAAAATGAAAGAGTGTAATTCAGATAGAAACATATAAATTGCGTAGTTTAGGAATGGTTGTAATTCATAGTAGGAGACAAGATGGAACAAGAGGTCACTTGATGACATCGGTAAGTTTAGGAGAACTGTAACAGTATAGAAAGACAAGTAGATGTTTGGCAGGCTTAGTGGAAACACCATCAATGAAAGACATCTAGGAATAAACTAAGACATATCCTGAGAATGGATTATAGACCAGAAATAACTCTGGATGGGAAATTTGCAGTTTCTTAACTTTTGTGCCATTAACCTTTTTTGTTTTGAATAGAGAATTCTGGATTTTCCCTAATTTCAAACAGCTATAAAATAAACTGACGGAGGTCCTAACCCGTCTCTATTCTATCCAAAGCTGAAAAAAGGTTTGGTTTAGATATACTTTAAATTAAGTCCTAAATGTAACCCACTAAGCTCAACTCCAAATAAAAACACTATTTTGGGTCGTGACGGCGCCCCCCCTCAGTCCTGCGCCCGGGGCAAGTGGCACCCCCGGTTGTTACGCCACTGTAGTACTGTATAAGTACTAGACATGTGCACAGCATAAAAATTAGTTTCGGAGGAAAAGAATGAAAAGGGAAAAACCTTTACATTAGTTTCTTTTGATGAAATTAATAATCATGCTGTTTCAGATTCGGAGGCAAGGAACCTTCGAATCCGAAAGCGCACAATTTAAAAAAAAGCCACATATTGGCCACCAGCACATTCGCGCCGCCATATTGGAGGTGGGGAGCATGACGTCACCTGATGCAGCAAGATGGCGGTGCCCATGCACAACAAATTAATATATTCTCAAATATTATTATTATACAGGATTTATATATCGCCAAATCAGTTTGCACAGCGCTTTACAAAACTGAGGGAGACAATACAATTAACAATAAAATTTCAGTACAGGAGGTAGGAGGGGCCTGCTCATGAGAGCTTACAATCTATTAGGAGGGGCAAGTGATACGAAAGGTAATCATTGTGAAATATTGTTTTTCATATATTATGGCATATAATAATTTGTTATTTTGGATTCGGACAAACTGCCAAATCAAAATTTCGTGATTCCGCAAGTTCGTCCGAATCTGAATGTATATATCTAAAAAGTACTTAAATACAGTGGGAGGAATATATTAAAACTGGAGCAGACTAGCAGTGCAACCAATCAGCTCTGCTGTCTCATTTTCAAATCTTACCTGAGCAAACTGAAGAAAGATGCTGATTGGTTGGGCAACTGCTCCAAATTCTGCCTGCTCCAGTTTTTATAAATTCCCCTCAATATGTCTTGATATCAGCCTCCTTTTTTTGTTCAGTGCTGCCTTAATTCCTAAGGCTGCTTACAGGAGAAAAAAGCAGAGGGATGACTTCATCAGTGTGCTTCCTTTCCTTCTTTGTCCAGCCACAGTCTGGGACAGTTAAAGGAGAACTATGAGGTGAGTGCTTTTCACTCACCTCATAGTTGTAGCCGACCTGTGACAATGAGACTGTTACAGGTCGGCTCAGTAGATCGGGAGGTGACCGAACACATACCGGCGTTCGCTCACTTCTCGATCCTGTCACGGCTCTCTGCCGTGACAGGGGAGGGGCTGGATTCCCCTCTCCCCGATCCGCCAGCGCTGACTGGTGGTACGGATGGGGGAGGGGGCGGGTACACCTGGCTCTGCCTCTAGATAGGCAGAGCCAGCTGTCAGTAACGCAGCTGGGCGTATCCCAGCACAATTGTCGGGATCCGCTTCAGCTGTGGCGTCTCAGTATACCGCGAGCTACAGCTCGCGGTATACTGAGCCTAGGGTGACGGGAGGACGCTAGTTTGTGTCCTCCCGTTACCCTAAGGAGAACTATGGGGAAAAGCCTTAAGTGGCCAAGCTACAGTATAATGTTTAACTGCAGTGGAGAAACCAGCATAGCTATGTTGCCTGGCAGTGCTGTTTAGATCACAGTTATATTTTGGTGGCCAACCAAGTTAGACAGTTCACATATACAGGTGAAACTCAAATAATTAGAATATCGTGCAAAGTTCATTTATTTCACTAATGCAACTTAAAAGGTGAAACTAATATACAAGATAGACTCATTACATACAAAGCAAGATAGTTCAAGCCGTGATTTGTCATCATTGTGATGATTATGGCTTACAGCTCATGAAAACCCCAAGAACCCCAAATCCACAACCTCAAAAAAGTAGATTATTACATGCAATCAATAAAACAAGGATTGTACATAGAACAATATCGGACCTCTGAAAAGTACAAGCATGCATATGTACTCAGTACTTGGTTTGGGCCCCTTTTGCAGCACTTACTGCAATTACTTTTGCACTATATTCTAATTATTCGAGTTTCACCTGTATGTATTTAAAACTCTTAAACCTTATCTTTATCATGAACCCTCCTCCTCATCTAGTCTTAACCCTTAAACTGAAACTACCTCTAAACCTAACCTTTAAATCTAGCCTAACCCACTAATCCTGAGCATAACCTAATCCTAAACTTTTAATTAAAGTGTAGCTACACCTTGGTCCCTGCCTCCTGAAGTCCCTTTCAGTCTTAGGACTGATTCTCACCAGGGCAGCCCATTGTAGTGCATTAATCTAAACTTGCCCTTCCAGCATTTTTTCAACGAACTGCACCGCAATGCAGTGGGTTGCAATGTGGGCTGCAATACAGTGCATTGGGGTGCCATTTACACTGAATGGACCACAGTGCACCAGAGCATGTAACACATTACTGCTGTGCAGTAGTGTGAATGGGCTCTTATATTCACCTGCTCCTGATCCAGTAAGATATCGCTGTCTAGATAACACAGCCAAAATGCATTTGTAACTCTTTTGCTAACATTCAACCACATAGCCCAATAGCTATGGCTAGCTTTAGGTTCCATTTGTGTGCCGAGGCTGCAGTTAAATGTAATGCATATAAACCACACCTTTCTATTTTTTTTTAAAGTTTCTAAAGTAATGTATTATGTACACACTTAAAATTAATGCAACAATTTTTTTTAATTTTTTTTTTAAACTTCATAAAACTTTAGAAATATGGATATTTATATTCTCTCCCTTTCTTGTTTTATTTCTATTAATTAGGTACTTTTAGTATTTGCCAAAGAAGATAGCCAGAGTAATGGATTCTGTTGTGCGTGTGAGAAAGCGGGCTTTAAGTCTAACATTGCTAAGACACCAGAATCTGCTTTGGAAAGCTTTTTAGATAAACATCATGAAATTATCATTATCGATCATAGACAGACACGATGTTTTGATGCAGAAGCTCTATGCAGGTACGTAATGGCTAACAAATGCTATTGTTTCAGCAACAATGTGCATTTCACTATTATTTGTTATAAAATTGTACCACTTTTTTTTTTACCACCTTACTGTAATACCTTTTCTTTTTCTGTGTGGACAAGCTTTCGATTTGTCAATAGGCTCAATTCACTAAGTTATAATGATTGTTATTTGACATAACGACCCTTATTCTCAGCAATGAGGGCTAATCAGAACTAAAAATAATAGTCACTGGGCTTGAAATAACGATAGTTATGGCAAATCACATATTCGTCATAGCTTATTGAATTGAGCCTATTGTCTTCTATGCAATATGACAGCTTTTATCAGGCTGCAATTTTGGATCGATTTGATTTGAGACTGGCCTTTTGACACATACCTAACTGTGTGCTGCCCAAAACACAGCACCCTTTTGGCCTGAAGCATGATATTCTAAACTGCACTATATGATATAAAATTACTTATAAATCTACAGACCAAGATAAGTGCCAATCATTTCAGCTCTCTACCGCCTTTCTCTTTTTTTTGCTGCTAGAGCAGGCACTCCAAGTTTCTTCCTGAGTATTAGCTACAGTGTAAGATTTCATTTGCTTTCAAAGTGTATTAAAGTTGAGAAGACGATAGATAGATAGATAGATAACGCCATATATAGCACAAACACTAAGCTTTCTGTCCTTTTAAATGCATTCCCAGCCTCAGACAGTGACCCAAGAAACATGTACTTCCCAGTATGTATACCCTCTTCTCACCCTAGAGCTGTACTTTCCCTCCAAAATCCACCCACCGAACCTACTCGTGGCACCTGATATTATATACAGTATGTATCTTCTGTAGTGCCACTGCTCTTCTTCTCCCCTTCCATCAGTCATTAACCATAGGAAGAGTTGTAACACAGGTATAATTATGTGAAATCCAGCTGCTGGGAAGAGAAGGAGCAATAGCACCAACAAGGTATGTGTAATGTAGTAGGTTCTTACATGGTGGGTTTTCTTCCCCTTTTTGGACTTTTTTAAACATCCTTCCTCTGTTCCTTTGCTTCCACTCAACACAGAGTAGGCTGTGTAGTCATCCAACCCTTAGGTTTTTTTCTAAGCACCTTTCTTCTTAGGGGCGTGCTTAAGCTGTTAGAGATTTTTCTAATTCAGCCTGCTCAATTCCCCCAACCATGCAAAAGATGGTGGATGGAGGAATCTCCCCTGCAAGCTACTGTATTCTGACAGCAGACACCTGCAGTTGTAAGAATAACTGAACAATGACTACAATCGACAATTTTCCACCTGGTTTCTTTTGAAAAAAAATTTGCTTGATAAAATCCTTTTGTCAAGCCAGTTGGTGCTGGCAGGGCCACCCTCATATTGAATTTTGGTCAGTTGAGCAGGATACAACCAACATTTGATCTGTGTTTGTCCAGGGCTGAATGAGTAAAATCGTAAGGTGTATGGCCAGCTTTATAAAGACTTATGAAAAATGTGCAGTCATTGAGCTTGTTCATGCTAGTTCTGAATTGGACGCTTGAAAGCTATGAACATTTCTGATTTTACTTCCTGAAACCAGCATGGAGGTTTTGCATTCAGTTATCATAATTGTTGATCTAGTGGTGCCATACTCAATTTGCTGTTTTTCCGTTTTAATCCAATACTATATTTAATATCATAATAATTTTTCCAATTATCATAATTTAGTTATAAAAAATTAAAATTGACCAAGCTAGCCAATCACTTTCTTTCAATTTAGCTTTTAAAAAATGATTGAACGTGACCTCAAAATAGCTACATGGATCCTATTGGAATATCAACACCATAATATAAGAAATGTATGGGGCACTGTTATAGCACAAATGTTTTTAAACCCTTAGATGAGCAGAGGATGGGTTCGAAAATCTCAGCTTTGTGGTTCCTATATACTTTGACTAGAGAGTCTTACACAGCATGTGAAGGCAATGTGCTGCAGTGTCAAAACTCTTGCAGGCCTGGATTATCTTTGGTTTTCCCATTTTTTTAATGTATGATAGTTTGGTCAAAACAATGTGCACTGTAAGTTTTATGGTGACATGGAAACTAGAGTTTGCTCCACACAGAACAAGGCATTTTTCTTATCTTCGTATGTTTTTGTTCTGCACTAAAATGAGTGATTGAGAACAAAAAGGTCTCTGTGATCAGTGATATGTGATGATTTGATGTATTTTATTATTACTTACCTCCTTTCTTACTCTGACATTCAAGGTCCATCAGAGCTACCAAACCCTCAGAAAATGCTGTCATAATTGCTGTAGTTAGAAGGTAAATCTCAGTTTCATTATTATTATTACTTTAATTCTTATTTTAATTACAATTTTAAAGGGCCACAAAGCCTACAAGAATAGTTGCTTTGCAAAAAAAGTTTTCAGTAAACATTTGTAACTACTACTAATGGATGTTACTATTATAATTACTGTATTATACAGTATAATTTTATGACAAACTTTCAGCATTATACCATGTTGTGTTAAAATTTACCAATGCAGCTGAGTATCACCTGCCTACATTTTCATTTAACTCTGTATAACAAAATGTGTCCACCTATATTTAAAGGGAGTACTCAGTGTTTTTGCAACTATCTTCATGCTTGGCACTAAAAAATAGTTAAATTTTTTCCACCAGCCAACAGGTAGAACTCTGGTCTCCTTTTCACAGGTTTACTGGGGATGAGCGAACAAAGTTCAGTTCGCTTGACATATGATGAACGGGGTAGGAAGAACCTTGAACAAAGCGGCAAACCCCTTTGAAATTGATGGAAACAAAATGCTGTTATTTTTCTTTCTAGCCTTTTTAAGCCAATTTGCACGCTTTTGTTTAAAAAAAAAAAAGGCCAGAGTAACTGAGTACTGTAAAGGGGATAAGTAACAATGCAAAAAAAAAATTAAAAAATTACATTCATTGGGGAGAGGGTCTTTTATTTAGGTTTAAAGGGCAACATTAAAAATTACACAAATCTATTTAATAACACGCTTTGAGGATACATTAAAGCTTCACCCTCTGCTTTGTTGACATGCTGGGTGACTAAATATAATACTGACCATATTTGGACAATGATGTTGCCCAGGATGCCCGCCGGGTTTGTCAACTTCATTGCCCAAATATGGTCAGTTATATTTAGTCACCCAGGTTCCCTGGCCGGCTGTTGTATGTCAACAAAGCGGATGTGTTATTTTGCTACTGGAGTGTATCAGGTGAACATGGGTGGCGGGTCAACATGACAGCAAGTCATTATCGTTTCTCTGTAGATCATCATGGTTGATGAGGATCTGCATCGCTGGACAGCGTGATTGACATTGGATTTGCATTAGGGGACATTGTTATGGTGCTGGTATTTTTTTTTTTTATCTGCTTTTAACGTTTGTCGGGGGGATGAGTAAAAGGGTTACTGTGTACCCCACACTTATTTCCCTGGGAGGGGGCTGGATATCTGGGTGCCCACTTTTGGTAAAGAGGGCTTCCAGATTCCCTTAATTCCCCCACTGCAAACCCTCATCGCTTTTGGGGGACAGGATGCGGAGATGAGGTCCTTGTTCCTGAACATGGGGACAAGGTGCCTTGCAAGGGGTGGAGGCTTTTCCCCCAATTTTAAAGGCATGTGGCCTAGTCTTGTTCAGGCTCATTGCCTTTTGTTTTCTGGCCACCCAGGATGCATGTATGGATAAGGGTCTGGTATTTAAAGAGAGCAAAACAAATGGCAAATGCAAGCATCAACTCATCACCAGCTTTAAAGCAAGGTGCACGTGGAAGGGCTTCAAACAATACAACATCAAAACCTTTCCCAGCACACTCACCAGTCAGCATGCAAAAAAACTCACCGCTAAGGTTAAAAACAGAGGTGTTAGATACACGTCTTCTTCAGAAGATGTGAAATCCGCACTGCCTCGCCAAGCGAACCTCTATGTAGTGTAGTCCTAACTCTAACCTATGAGAGTCTCCATCTTGGAACACATGTAGCAAAAGATAAAATTGGGTGCAGGTTTGCCAGGAGGAAGCCCAACCCCCTTGAAGGCACAGGGACTTGCAAGGGTTGGAGGCTTTCCCCCCAATTTTAAAGGCATGTGGCTAGTCTTGTTCAGGCTCACTGCCTTTTGTTTTATGGCCACCCAGGATGCATGTATGGATAAGGGTCTGGTATTTAAGGAGCCCCCATCCCATGTGGAGGATTTGGAATGTGAAAGTCCTTTTAATGAAAAAGAGGCCCCCAGATTTCCCTAGGGGAATGAAAAAAAAAATGGAAAAAAGTCCTTTATCTGACAATAAAAAGTAGACAATGTCTCCCCGTGTTAATCCAGCATCAATCAAGTCATCCAGCCATGTAGATCCTGGTCCTACAATGTTGACCGACCTACACGACCACCCACGGCCTGACTATGTTACACGTCGAGCTACTTTTACAAAATGAGATATCCCGAGCCAGCTGCTGTATGTCAACAAACCGCCTGGGGATCTTGGGTGATGTCACAGATCAAACATTGTTTACAAACACCAGCTGGCTGGGAATCTGTCATTTTGAGGCAGGAGCACTACAAACATCAGTGGGGCTTCGGACAGGCAAACTAGTTAATCTGTTTGCCGAACTATGAACGGGCTTGGTGCGGGTCAGACGCGTGTTCATCCCGAACCAAAGCTTATCCCTAATGTTTATCAGACAAACCTTCAGAATGATTCATCCCTTCCTGTTTGTAGCTTTCCTATTGAGTTACATTTACAAAAACACAGTCCAAAAGGGAAACTCCATTGCTATGTTTTAATTTGAGAAAGACCAGAATGGTTTTCAAAGCCAGTATATTGATAGTTTATTGTAAAGCAAAGATTTTATATAAATAACTTTAAACTTATATAAATATCATTTTAACCAATATGTTGCCAGACCAATTTTTGCCAGACCCAAAAAATCATTTTGTGAAAGCAGAGGACCTGTAATATGAAAAGATGGTAGTTGCACATTTTTATGTTGCATGATATTTGTGCAAATGTTTATCAAATCTGTATTTTAAGTACAAAATATAGTGAGATTAATTTTAATGCACAATAACACAATCTGATCTCCGTTATTTTTAAAAGATGAGACTGTGTCAAGTAAATAATAATAATTCAGTTAATTGATTCACATTCCTGTTCAAAGTAGTACTATTGTTTAAATATTTTGCTTGTGTTATACAATACTCACTTTTTATATATGTTTTTGTCTTTTTATGTCCTGCTATTAAAGACAAAGTGATAGAGATGAAACGTCAGTAATGCCCCTAATATCTGCTGGGTTTTCCAGGGTAAGTGGAAATGTTTGTTTTTAATTGATTTGTAAATCCTAAAAATTAACTTTTCTTATTTTCTTTCTTTTGGTCTGTTCAATATACCACTGCAAGTGTTTTTATTTACTTGTTTGCTAAGTGCAAAAAAATTACCTGTTGATCATGTCATTAATTAAGAGCTGCCCTGTGTCCTCTGAACATTTCCTGTGTTATCTCAAGAAGTCTAAATAGCCCTTGTAATTCTTATCTTAATGATTAAGCTGGCTATACACTAAGCATATGGATAGAAGAATCTCTCCTACTGACTATTCTACTCTGACAGCCTGCACACACCTGCCACTGCCTGCAAAAGATTGGCTGCAGGCACTGTTTGGCCGACAACTTTTGGCCCTGCTAATTTGACAAAAGTCGATTGAGTAATTTAACTTTTGTTGAGCCAGCCACTGTTAGAACTGTAGCCGATTCCTGTGAATCAGTCAAAATTCTAAAAGTGTATGGCCAGCTTAAGTCTCTATGTTGTAGAGCAGGCATTCTCAAATATAGTCCAATGGACCAATATGGTTTCTACAGAGGTTGCTAGGAGTTCCTTGAGCTGTGGCTGTGACATCAATTATCTTTTTCGCTGTCTGGGGCATTATTACCACTTATGTAAGGGGGACATTTTTCCCACTGGCCACCAATGTAAGGTGCATTTTTCCCAGTGACCTCCAATTAATTGGTTTGCTTCAGGGGTTGCCTGAAACCTCAAAAATATGTCTAGGGTTCCTCTAGGGTAAAAAGGCTTTTGTAGAGAACAGGAGAGTAGTAGGAGCGTTTAAGTAGTTTAGCAAAAGACACTGGGCAGGTCTGTCCTCAATCAGTACACAAAAATGCCGTGTAAATTCAGCCCATAACAGGACCTAGGGAACTTAGTGCATTTCTGGCAGATGAACAAATGTTTTCTATGCTTTCGGGGTCTTTAAAGGAGAAGTGCAGGGAAAGTAAACCATACTCTCCCCACCACTTAGAGCTGCGTGGGCACTGCAGCTGTCACATGCCGGCTCTATACTGAGAGTTGAGCAATCATGTAACAGCTCATCACTCAGGTCTTGGTCTGTGCTACGGGGGGAGAGCAGTGACTGCTCCCCGCAGGGATTCCCCCTTCTCTCCTCTTCTATTGGCAGGAAAGTGAATGGACACAGCTGGCTCTAGAGAGGCAGGGCCAGATGTCAATCAGGCAGCCGGATGGATCCAGACAATATTGTTAAGATCCTTCCTGGCTGCGGCACGGCGCTGCACTCTCAGCAAATAAATGTACTTCTGTGACCCAAAAGAGGAGTAAAGCCAAAAAAAAAATTGGCTTTACTCATCTTTTAAATAGACAAAACATGGGGAAATGTGCATGCATTGCAGAGATGTACTGCATGTTTTTATATTGTCCTGTAATACGTTTTTATGTGGGTAGTTATGTGGTGGTTCTGTTACCTTTTTCTAATCTGTAAGAATAACAAATCCTAATGAATTTTCACGTAGTAAAAAAACGGCCGGCCCGGAGCTCTCTAGATCTGAGCGGGCGTCTTTAGACGTCCGCTCAGACACGCCCCCTTGCGCGCGCCGCCGGGCTCGCGCGGGAAATGGCCGCAATTTAAAAACGGGCTGCGATGCCCGTTAATATACATGCGATCCGCCGGCTGTAAAGCCGGCGCATCGCTTGTATTTAGCGACGATCGGTGCGGCCCCCCCTCCCTCTGCTGTCCCCCCCGCCATTGTCCCGCTGATCCCGGGCTCCCCC